GTCTAGTAATGGGCGACTGATTTGTTGCTGAAAATGGTGGTGGTGGAGGCGGTGACTGGTGGCAGTGGAGGGGAGGTGTGTTGTGCAGTGTGGTGGTGGGAACGGAGATCAGATCCGTTGTTGGTGGAGGATCTGTGTGTTGACAGATCTGTTGGTGGTGGTTTGGGCTAATCTTGTTGGTGCTATTATTGGTGGATGGTTGTGGCGGTGGAGGTGGTGGCGGTGGCAGGGATGCGACGAAGAATGTCTGTGACCAATGTTGGTGGTGGGTTTGGATCGGGGACGGTGTGTTTGGGTGTATGTGACCAATTATATGGTTCTCTGTGACTTTAAAATTGAAACTACGTGACATGTGACATATAATTTTTTTGATTTGGGACCAATAAAATATTATGTGACCTATAAAATTTTAGATGTCGTGACCTCGAAATAATCTGAGACCTACAAAATTTTTAATCTGTGACCGATAAAAAAATTGTGACCTATAAAATTTTAGATCTGTGACCTCAAAAAAAATCGTGTAAAATTTTGATTTGTGATCGGAGAATAGTCGCCGGAGTGATCGTCGACGCAGTCGCCAGAGCAGAGGTGGAGGGGAGGTGAGGTGGCGTGGGGTGGGGGTGGATTAATTATATTATATTACAGTTAAATATTTAATTTAATATAATAATTGTGAAATATAATTAATTAATTCTTGAAAAACCTGATTTTTGCAATTTTAAATTTTGGGACCTAATTTTTGATTTTGAGATAAATAAAGTCTGCGTTGTGAGTTTTTCCCTCCGATTTTTGAAGAGATTTCGCAGTTGAGAACAATTGGCTTGTTAACTTCATTGCACGACTGGGTTATGGAAAATTAAATTAATATATAACAAATATTTTTAACTGTCATGAAAACGTCTTCATAGAGGCCACTAGTGATGAAAATGCCAAAAACAAAAAAATGGGGGAAAGGCGAAAGATTTACTTTTCAAATTGGAAAACCTTTAAAGAAATATTTTTTATTTTCTAATTTAAAAGAAAATTTAAAATTACTCTCAAAATTTTCAAAAACAGAACAAAAATTGGGTTTTCATATCCACCACCAGTTTATCATGAGCAATATGTTGAGTAATTCTTGATATTACTATCAGCTCATCAAGTTCCATTTGAAAATGCTGAGATACTAAGAGTTGATTCAAGAGGTCTAACAACTCGGCAATAAAAGTAATCTTTATCGATAAAAATCCACCTAGAATATACGATACTATATATATTTTTCTCAGAGCACAATGCCATATATCAGTAAAAAAAAACCCAAAACCCGACTTGTTTATAGCATTTCATAGTTCTTTGCAATAATCTGACTCTTTCACTACCCATATTCAGAGGATCCGATTCAGTCGTACAAAAATATACAAGCACGTCTCACAAAATACAGACTATATAGCAGAGGCATTGCCAAATATTTAGGTAAACAAACAAGCTATTCAGTAGGAAAAAACTCAGATGTCCATCAATGAAGCATGGTGGGAATTTCCCATACTAGTTGTGCTTGCCACAATTGAATCCACCGCAGACAGACAAAACTATGATAAGGATCAACGCAATGATGATACCAAGGACAATCAACTTTATCTTCATGTTCTGCAACCACATCTTTCTTCTCATCTTGGTTCCTTGCGTCCTGAAATCTTGTGCCTGGTTCAAAGAAGATCAACATTTCGATATCATATGCATACATTGATATTTCTATCGAGGACGAGAAAACAACAGTTAAGAATCTAAAGTTAGGGCTAACATGAAAAAACAACAAAAATCTGACATATTGTTGAGTTATATTGATTGCAATAATCTAAAAGATTCTACAATTGTTAAGATCTCTTCTATGTAATTTCAACTAGAACAATCGGAGTCAAGGAGGGTACACCTAGCATCCACAAAAGAAAGAGACGCACATTTTAGAATCCAACACCAAAGAATTGAAGAATGGACAGGCACTTCACATACCTGAGAGCGAAGATTCTCGGTTTTGTCCACCAGAAGTTCAATTTTCTCACCACGGTCAAGAACCTGCAGTGACAAAATATTGGACCATGCACCAAGAATTAGATTCTCAATCACCCCATATACAGCTGGGATATAGAAACTTGAGCAACTAAAGGAATGCCAAAAAATGGCCATACCTTCTCAATGTTTTCCATCATCACTCCTTTGACTTCTGAAACCTGAGCTTTCACCTTTGCAAGCTTGCTGATCTCTTCTGGATGATCTACACAGTACTGCATTTGCTCCTTCAATTTGGGCCTATGTTGTTGCCATTGTGCCAAGGAAAAGCGGTTTTCAAATAGATAAATGATCGATAAAATATAATCAACTATACTACAAGAAGTAAAAGAGATAAATACCCAAACTCCTTATTCAGGCTGTTGGCAACAGCTGTAGCAGCCTTTCCGCCACTATATTTTTTGGTAAAATCCTCCTTAATGCGCTCGAGGAATGCCATAGGAATCTGTCTTCCAGAAGATTCAACAGCAACAACACAATATGCTATCATAAAAATTAAAAAAAAAAAAAAAAGGTCAGTCCACCTGAATGAAATAAGAAAAAGTAAATAATAGAACTTGGAAGCAAGATAGAGTCCACGTATTGTATATCAGTTGGAAGCATATGCTGTAGCATTCTGTGCATATAATGGTGTATCAAAACTAAGCAATCTTTAATCAATATATGCATGTTATGCTAGTGAACATAGCTGTTTGCGCTCTCAATATGGAAATTTGTTGGATGAGACAAAAGGATGATTCATTAAAATATTTATGCAGCAGTTTTGGTCATTTAAGTGTTCCAAAGAAGAGCTTTAACCTTAAAGTCAAACAAATTCAAAGTCCATACGCTGGCCATGCAATGACCTTTTTTGTGCAATGCCAATTTGAATGACAATACGACATTTCCGAATTTTGTAAACTAAGAAAATCACTGATTAGGGTCCAATAACAATAAGAGCAACATCTACATTGCTTCAAGGACCACAAAAATGATAAGAAGACCGTCATTCTAAACAGGCAGAGAAATTAGAAGCATAAATTAGGGCAAAGTGTAAGAAGATAGTGTTGATGATTATGGAATTCATTGAACTGTCACATAATTGCATCTAGGATTCAAAGCAGCAGCGCTCTGCAATATACATTCTGAGGAAAAATATTTACAAGGTTGTAATGGCTTAAAGACAGAACCGTCAAGCTCATGAAACTTGCAGCAAGCTATATTAACTAGGAAACATGGAATAAACAGCGAGAGACCAAGCAAATTCTCAAGGTCCTCCTGATCATGCTGCTAAAACAACAACAGATAACTCCAGAAACAAAACATTCCTATACAGGTAAACACCAGCTACAAGGATGGGGCAGAAGATATCATCATTCATCAATCAACATTGATTACGACCCAAAACAAATCACATCCAAACCAAAATGTACCTTAAGCAAAATAAAAATTCACATTAACAAGTGAGGGGTGAGGGATCTGTTTCATCATTTTGAATTTGTGTGAAGATCATTCTGAATTAACAAAGACATTATTAAAGTGATTACACGTTCAAAAACTCAGACCCAATTCAGATAATACAATGATGCCTAGTTTCGCCACTGAAAATTCATAAATCACTATTATGATTTCAAAACTGATCCAAATAGTATATTTAATATAAAAGCCAGATAACATATAAATGTAAAATGAGGTTATTTTCTCACTAATTTTTTTACCATTTTAAATATCAAATACGAAACCAATAATGTTTGTTTTATTTGAATTGATAGTAACTGATCTCGTGTCATTTCCAAGACTTAGATCCTTTCACACATTACAAAAAGGACTAATCAAATCAAACAAAATGTTACTAAAATTTCAAAACTGATCCAAACTAGTAAACATTTAATATAAAAACTAACTAACAAATACATTTAAAATGAGTTAAAGATCTAAGCTTATAATCGAATCATAAACAAAACCGACACCTAATAATCACACAATTTGTCATCAAACAACTATATACTATTATCAAACACATAAATTAACAATCTCGTACGAGAAATCAATCGATTAACAAATAGATCGGGACGCCGCTCTTACTGAATCCATCTTCCACGAGATAGTTAAAGGTGTGACCATCGCAGTTGTAGGTAAACCTGTTGTTAGTCGCAGGTAGTTTCTGGAGGCACTGAGAGGCTATGCTGATAAAATTCCCCGTGAACTCGGTGTACTCCGCTAGGGTTACCGTTCCACGCGCCACGAAACTGTAGATCAACGACTGCTGCCCCATTTCTATACACCGATTTTGATTTTCCTCCCTCTAACAAGAAAACCCTAGAGCTCGATGCAGGTTTCTAAAATCTAGAGAGAGAAAATAGTTGTACAAGACGGAATAGAAATCCTAATGGGCAGTGGATTCATACGAAACGCAATATTATTAAAAGAGAAAAAGATGGGAGTTTGATTTTCTTCGGTGTTAAGACTTTAGTTGTTAAACTGCCCTGGTGAACTACGGAAATAACAAATATGCCACTGCTTCATTCGGTTTATTTTTTGGATTAATTACACTATGGATCCTCAGCATTCTCACTTTATCTCAATCTCATCACTATATTTTAATTGCATGTATCATTAAGCCAACCTTCATTAATTCTGTTCAGGCCTGGCCCTGAGGCGAGGCGAGGCGAGGCGAATGAGGCCGTCGCCTCAGGCCCAAACCTGGAAGGGGCCTAATTTTTTGGTCCAAAATTTTTTTTTTTTACTAGGCCCAGAAGTAAATTAGGATTTAGGCCCAGTTCTAACCTAAACAAACACTCGCGTCTTCACACTCTCACCCTCTCTGGCTCTCTCCTTCCCGCTCGCTCTCGTCTCCAGTTCTCCACTTCAAAATTCATTCATCTCCTCCAACCCAAGCCGACGCCAAACTTTCCTCCAGTGCAGTCTCCTCCTCTTCTAGTCTTCTTCTTCCTGCCTTAAACTTTTTCCCTTTCGAGACCTTCTCAATCAGCGAACTGCGAAGTGCGAACCATTTCATTTTTTCGAGTTCCGTTCACCGCTGGTTCGATTAAGGACTGCTTCTGCAGTTCTGCTTCGTGCTGGTAGAGTGGTAGTGGACCAGTCACCAGTGCCCAGTGGTAGTCTCAACTCTCAAGT